ATTTAGTTTTTATATAGTTTCTATGTAATTACTTATATAAATTACCTAATAAAAATATGAGCAAGGCCTCACCTTAAAAAAAAAAAAAAAAAAAAAAAAAAAAAAGTATTAGTGCAATATAATGAATTTTAATATGTTTGATGTTTTTATGAGTTACAATCAACTTGGACATATTATATTCTTGGGAATCAGTGATATTTAAACAGGATTATTATATTGTCTGGGAAGTAGCATCCTTGAAATATGTTTAATGTAACTCTGTTGTCTGTGAACGCTTGTTATTCAAAGAACTCTTAGTTTGCCCGAGCTAAAAATGAGATAACATTGTTGATGTAGAAGAGTTAGCACATGCTTATCGCATAGCTTAATTAGCATATTTAGCACCTAGCTTGGACATATTTATGGCTCTCCAGCTGGTTATTACCATGATCACAAATACTTTTTGCAGTAATGATACTTTACAGGCAGTTATAATATTCTAGTTTTAAAACAGTACTATGCGGGCTAATGAGTTATAAATATTTTAAGTGCAATAATTTTCATTATAAAAACTATATATTTATTGAATAAGACCAGACCAACTGGATTCTGTATTTTACATTACCCTCTCAAGAGTGAGAAAGGGGGAGAATTTGTGAAAAAAAACCAAATTGTTCTGTGACTGTATAAAAATTTTCAAAATATCCCGTAGCCCTATATATATTTATCTAAATTTTTTTACTGAGTGAGAGGAGAGAATACTGAGGAGGGGTGTAATATAAAACACAGAATCCAGTTGGTCTCGCCTAAATATACTAATATTATATTTTTCTTTCAGGGTGGTTAAACGATTTTCTACTTATGTAATCTAATCTAAGGGAAGATATTTTTATAATCTACATTGGAAAACTTTGAAAAAAATATTAAAAATTTAATTTGATAACCACTATAATACATCCCCAATTATGAGCACTGATTGTGTTTTTTTTTATTTTTATTTTTATTCATTTTTGTTTTTAGTCTATGCAACATATTACTAATTTTTTTTTTTTCCTTCAGATACCCACATATGTAACAATGTCACTGTTCGTTTTCAAGATCACTTGAAAACTTGAAAATGATTATATGATATGAGAATATTTGAAATGTAGATTTAAAAAGTAAGACGGTTATTAAATTACTATAACTCAAAATACCAGTATTGTCGCATAGTGGAACTTAACTGAAGTAGGTATTAAATTTATATAAATTGCATCTTTCTCTAAAATAATTCACTAATTTATAATCATTCCAGTGTCGCCCCAAAAATCAGTTACGTATCTGAATTTAAAATTAATTCTAATATATTACTTCGTGTGATACAAATATCTTAATATAATGGTCAGAATCTATTTATTAGTGACTAGTATGAAAGTTTTTTTTTTTTTGAATATTAAATATGCAAAAATGTTGTTTTGATCCACTTAACCCACTTTTATTGACCCACCCTAAAAAAATTCATTTTTAATGATTGTATCATCGATAGAGTTGTAAAATTACTGTAATTTTGTAGAATTTTACGTAATTTTGTGTAAGCTTCCAAAACCAAAATTTTATATAATTTTGATAACATGTGAATAGTGTACTAAAATTTCATTATAACTGGTATACTTTGCATATAATTATAGTTCTGAACATAGTAATAAATCTTTAATAATATTGGCAAAACTTTCATAATGTTGGTACAATAATCATGTGCCAATCCTGTAATATTACATTACAATTTTGTTGGTTTTTAAATTAGTCAAAAAGCATGAGTTTAAAATTTCAAATACAAACTAGTATAAAGAAAGTTTTTTTTATTTCTAAAAAATTGGTTTAATCATTAGAACTATTTATAAATTTTGTGAATTTAAATCTTAATATTTTTTATATTCACGAAGATGAATCTATTATGATAAATCTCTAATAAATTTTATACTAATCAAAATTGCCAGAAGCAAGTTAACATCAAAGAATAAAATTTCATCGATGATTTATTATAGCAATTTATTTGTTGTTTGCAATAAAATATAGCAAAAAAAACAATAATCAAAAGTTTACATGAGAATTATTATTCGACTAGCAATTTTTGAAAAGCTAAACTAGGCTTTATTTCAGCACTTGAAACATTCAACAAAAAAAACCAATATTATATACAGTGTGTAAATCATGCCAATACAGAAAACAGAATGCTATATCTAGTAAATATTTCAATTAACAGCTATTCAAGATACCTACGTTGTAGAGAGTCACACCAGACAATGCCAAACTGACGAAAAAAGTACAATAAACTCAACACCAACAACGAAAGTATTCCAATTAATGGCACCAAAAAGCAAACACAATGACAGTGAACGATTCAATACAAGAAAAGAAGAGTTAGTACTGCGAAAATAAAAAAAAGAAAAAAATACTTAGCAATATGCGTAACCCAACGACCACAATGATGAAAGAAAAGACTGTATCATGGAAAAAAGCACTAAACCTATGACACAGAAAAAACTATTGAACCTATGACAAAGAAAAACCACATTACAAGAAGCACCAAATTGGACGACACCATATTGCAATAAATACCAAATGAAAGATACTAGAGATGAGAAAAGAAATACCAAACTGGACGACACCAATGATGAACGATACAAATCAGCAAAATCGACAAACAATCTAAACTAATAATAAAAAAATAAATAAATAAACATTAATACTCATTAAATAAAAAAAAAACAAGAAAAAAATGAAATAATTTTATTTTTTTTTTAAAAAAATAAAAAAATGAATTGTCGTTGCTGGGAATTGAACCCAGTGTAAATCACTAACAGACAACGACTTTGCTAACTTAATACTCGAGAATAAACTTTAAAAGAAATTAAAAGTACTACTTCATTATTATATTAAGCCCAAAAACTATTTTTCCTTGGCAAAGAAAAATATAAAAAGGGAGTGAGAACATTCCTTATCTGCATGGTAAAAGATAAACCCCTAATATTTCATTAAAGATAGGTAGAGTACATTCTTTAACAGGACAGTCTAATTACCTCAACATTATTCAAAGCTCAGGTGAAGCCTAATAGTACACATCAAGATGTTATTAGTCTGCATTCAAGAGATAAATAACCAGACAAGCTTATAGTCCACCCCATCAATAACTAGTCCAAAAAGGTCAAGTTATTACCATCAAACCTGGGCCATGTTCTAAAGAAAAAAAAAAGTCAAATGGTAATAAGAATTTTGAAAATAAAAAAATAATAAAAGCAATAAAGGTGATGAAAATGGAAATAAAAAGGGTAAAAAAAATGAAAATGAAAAAAATAGAAACGATGATAGAAAATGATGAAAGAAATAGAAATGATAAAGGAGATGGGAATGATGGAAATGATGAAGGAAGTAGTAAGGGTTTATATTGTTACAGAGTAGTAGCCTTCTTAATTTACTCTATAACGACGACACAGCACAGGGAATCCTTTCGTAGGTAT